AAGTTTTGCATTTGCTCGCAAAAAAATTGCGTTCCTCTGAGAAACTTTGCGTAACTTTTACTTTCTCTCACAAATATGGACCCTTTTCACAAGACTGTGATGAGGCGTTTAACGATCATCAGCATCGTAAATCTTCGAAAGTTTTTCATATTTGTATTTTTATTATTTGTACACTATTCTTTGTATTATATCACCTTTGCATCAAATTACAAAAAAAAACAGTTAACGCTAATGCGAGGGTGTTTCTAATGCAGCGTCTATGGGAGGGACGGTTAATTTGACACCGTTCTCTCTTCTGACAGGCGTTATCAGTCTCTCTCAATTTTTTTCATTTTATTGAAATTCATGAAAACACTATCATGGAGTTTTTCTTTTGCTATTTGAGCAAATGGGAATGCAAAAAATATATTTGTGGTACTCTCCCATTCACTGCTCTTCAAGTTAACCCAACTATGACGACTTCCGCTGCTGAGAAACCCGGAAATGTGAAAAAGGTCCATCGCGTTCCCATGAGAAACATTGTATTTGATCGCAAAACTTTTGCATCCTCTCACAAAATATTCAAGTTCTCTCGCAACACAACTGCGTTCCTCCAAGAAACTTTGCATTTGCCTGCAAAACATTTGCATTCCTGAGAAATTCTGCACTTTTGTGATGAAAATAATATGAGGTATACAATAAGAATAAAACAATGTAAATGCCAAAGAAAATATATATATATATATATATTGTCACCCACATGCTAGCGAATGCAAAGGTTCTTGGGGGAACGCTGCGACAAAATTTTAAAGTTTTGCCAGTGAACGCAGAAGCCATGAAATATATATGCCACACCTGACTCGGCGTAATGGGTGCAGGTGTGTGCCAGAACCCGGTGTAAGCGTGGAAGAGGTACTTGTCAGTGTCGGAGAACAAATTGGATTCGACAATATTATCAGCTTCACGAATGAATAAGGCGATGGTTGTGTTTCTGAAAACGGAGCCGTTAATTAATCAGTTAACTGAGAGTGGTTTATGGGTGAGAGAGGAAAGGGAAAGGGAGGTCGAAAAGGGGGAAAAATAACTAATCACTATGGGTAATAAGTGCATTTTTCTGACCTATTTCTTTCTTATCTTTCTTTTCCTTATGGAGACTTTCCGGGTGGGATCTCTTAACGTAAATGGGATGTGTGAGGAACGCTTTGAGGAATGCAGGAATTCTCAAAATTGGAGATCTAGTCACAACAGAAGGATGGATGTCGGCTGAGAGACTGGCTACGAAGATAGGTGTCAGGTCAGTTCGACTGGCACACAAGTTATTGAAAGGTCTTGTTGATTTGCTACCAAAGGACTTTATATCTGTTTTGAATCAAATGGATGATAACAAGGAACTTTCATTCCCAGGACTTGAAATTGCACTTGCTGTTGATGAATTTCAGGAACTAGAGGGGAATTTGCTTACTTTCAGAACTCCTCAACTTGGACTTTTTAGTAATGCTGGGAAACGAACGCTGTATATTGTGTGTATCAAGGCATCACATCTACGTTCCTTGGAAGGACTTAAGGAGTCTAAGTGGCAGGATTTTTTTGGATTAGATGCTTCCCCTAAAGGTAGCTGGAGGACCTTGTACAAACCTCCAATTGAAAAAAGGTCTGGAGACCTTCAGTGGAGGATTGTGCATGGTATAATAGCTACAAACAGATACAGAGCACACATTGATCCACAGGTAGGGGAAGGGTGTCTTTTTTGTGGAGCAACAGAGACAGTTTTTCACTTGTTTTGTCAATGTACGAGATTACAGCAATTGTTTGCTCAAATAGAGGAATGGTGTCAAACTTTGGGGGAGGCTTTTTCTATGATGTTTTTTATTTATGGACCCAAATATTGCTGGAATAGAAAACAAGTTCATGTTTTAATTAATTTTTTGTTTGGACAAGCCAAAATGGCAATATGGCTGTCACGTAAAAGTAAACTCAGTGGTGTGGGGTCAACTGATGCAGTGTTAATTTTAAAGGGTTTAATAAAATCAAGACTGAAAATAGAATATACATTTGATCATTTGTTGGAAGATTTAGAAACTTTTAATAATGTATGGGGAGTAAATCAATGTATCTGTGGAATTGATGATGATGGATCTCTTAAGATTTATGTTTGAATGGAAATTATTTTTTTCTCCCCTTTCCCTTAATGTGTTCATGATATTAATTAATATATGATGGGTAAAAATGTGTTCATGATGTTGGAATAATTGTGATATAATAAAGGTTTGTTAAGCCTCTCCCCCTCTCGCTCCCTCTCTCTCTCTCTCTCTCTCTCGCTCTCTCTCGCTCTCTCTCGCTCCCTCTCTCTCTCTCGCTGCATGCTTCGTACGTGCACATCCACACTAGCTTCATGGCCTTGCTACACCCGGGCGAACAGAGTCCAACCACTTTCAGGACGCGGGGGGAGATCTTTTTTCCTAAAACACGTAAAAGCAATACATAATTGTATCAACCGAACAATTTAACACCAGATTCCACTTGCAAAAACCAAAACGCAAAGTATGATGCGTAACTTTCTAGAAAATGTCAGAAAAGCGGGAAATAAGTGCGCCGAAAATGGTTCATTCCTAAAGTAAGACGTGCAAAACCGAACGCACCGCACCCCGCTAAAATCCACCGAACGAGTTGATGCTCACAGTCAAGCCCCTGCGACGCTGTAATTCGATAGTTCCATTTAATGGGCGGGCTTTCAGCGAGAAGCTCGGCCAGCTATTGGCTGACTGTCACGCCAATCAAGCACTGATTTGCATAAGCAGGTCAGGTTGCCGTTGCAGGGGAGTGGGCAGGGTTGGGATAGCGCAAGTGAGCTGAACTTCTGCGCTGCTGTAGTGCACTATCCTCAGTTTAATACTTTATTTCGGAAGTTATTATCTTTGACGAAAACATCTGAAGCCTTGTGTGTTTTTATCAACACCATTAAGGACTGTTGGATTTGCTCTTCATCCAGTAATTAACGGGTTTATCGGGAAGTTAAGGTGAGTAAGTGTGTCTTTTTGCTTCAATTGTCTGTCAAAAACAATATTAATCGCTTTATTCGAAAGTGATAAACAGATATGCTTTCATAATTTGATCCTTTAATATTTCTGCTTTGCTCTCTATGTATTTGACACGTATATAGCAAAATATGCACGTATTGTATAATCATTACTATTTCACCATCAGTGCTAAATTAAAAATCGAGACTTATTTGAACAAAACATGATTTATTTATGTATTTATTTGTAAATTTAAAAACCCTTTCAAGTGTTTCATCCAGGCCACATGGTCAAAGAATATATCATTTTATACCTCATCTGATTAGCATATCATTAGCATATATTAATATAATTATGCAAAAGAATGATAAAGAAGATATTTGCCCATGCACGTCATTACGTAGAGTTGCAGAACCTGTCATCTAAGCTCTGTTATATTTATTCAGATGTTTACAGTGATATTCTGGGCTTCCAGTGGCATCCGAACCTGTGATTTCTGAAAGCAGGTAAGCCACTGACTAACGCACATTGCGCCTGTTCTCCACTCCACTGTGCGTGTGACAGCGGCTAACCAGCTTTTGGATGAGTGCCTGACTTCAGCAGCCGTGGGAACGTCCCACCGGAGACTCCCGAACGGGTCGAGGCGGACACACTCACTGGAGGGACGCTTTTGGGCCCCCCGTCCCTCCACGAGTCTCTCTGCTCCTGTAGCTCAAGTGTTGAGTGTTTGATTCCCGTGCAGCACATCACGTGCTGAAGAGATGAACGCATGCATCAGTGCATACGTGCAGTGTGTCACAGACACGTGCTCCTGACTAAACTCACATCTCTAGATGAAGCTGCTTCGCTCAGTCATACTTGTATATGTCAGAATAATGTTGTCTTGCACTAAACCAGCAGCTCTGAACTTTTGAACTTGAACCGTTATGCAAATCCAGTCACAGTAGCTGTGTAAACTGAAACAGCTCTGAATCACACGTTTAACAGGCTCGCTCTGTTATATTTAGCATAGTAATAATTCAACTTTCATTCTGATCAGCAGTTTCAGTTTTGGTTTCGTAATTGTATTATATTATGAAAATTAGTCAAATAAAATACACAAAAATTCAAATATATCTTAATGTTTCGGTGTACATTGTTACATTTATATGAAATCTGAAAATATATTTAAAAAAATATATAAAAATGTTTGAGTATAAAAATGAGATTTTAGCAACAAAATATTAAAAGTTTTAATATAAAAAAAAATTCAAAGTTTAGATTTTGCTAAAGAAATGGGTGACGTGGTGCATTAACAATTAAAACAATGTTAAATTTGGTAAAAAAAAAAAAATTTATTAAAATGACTAATTAATCATTTTCACTATGTCTATGTTTTCATTCAATTATATTATTACATACAAAATAAATCTGAATGTTTGAGTACATAAACAACATATTAAAGGTTGTGGTAAAGAAAGACATGGATGGCATGGTTTATATTATAAAATACTATATATTATATTGTATTGTATCATAATATATCAAGTAAAATCTTAATGTTACATATTATATGTAAATAAAATATAAAAAATAGATCAAATAAATCCTAATGTTTCATAATACAAACCTGCTTTCAGCAACAACATATTACAATTTGTGGTGTGATTTTGTGAAAGAAATGTTTAACATAGCGACGAGTCAATCATTTCTTTAATCCAGGCTTTGTTTTGAAAAGCCTGTTTGTTCTGAATTCAGATGATTTGAGTGGTTTATAGTTACATTTTGGGTAATATGTATATTTAAAATGTAAATCCTGCCTCCTAATAGTAATTAAATGAGCTGATAATCAATTTGAATGCATTCTATGGCTGATATTAGTAAAATAGTCATCGATCATTATCTTGTCCGGCGTGTGTCTGTTAATGGCTCTGGCCCACATAAAGACGTCCATCACGGATTACAGATTTGATTTGATTGAGTCTCTTCTGAACTGCCTTCAGTTGCGATTATCCCGTTCGGTGACATGAATGAAAACATGTCACTCTCGTTAATGGACATCCGTGAGCCACGGCTGTGTTTGTGTTTATCTGTATGGATGTGTAGTATAGTGTCTGTAGCTGTAGCTGTAGAGACAGACAGACAGCAGCGAGCGCTGATGAGGATTTGAGTCGAATCTCATAGAGTTCATCATGATATCTCAACAGCCAAGCAGCTCAGACAAACCCCTTCTAATTCACTGGGGTTTTACTGTATCATAGTGCTCAGTCATCTTTAAAGAAGACTTTCAGAAAAATATGACAGCAGTTATGTGGATGCCTTTGTGGTGCCGTGAGAAAGAACAGATCAGACTAATGACTGAAATTGTAGCAGTCTCTTTATAAAAACACGTCTTTATGGATTTTTGTACATCATGTGGTTTGGGGTTTAGTTCAGTGTTTCCTGTAAACTTTTAAGATCAAGAACCATATATGATCAAATGTACAAACCCAATTCCAAAAAAGTTGGGACACTGTACAAATTGTGAGTAAAAAAGGAATGGAATAATTTACAAATCTCATAAACTTATATTTTATTCACAATAGAATATAGATAACATATCAAATGTTGAAAGTGAGACATTTTGAAATGTCATGCCAAATATTGGCTCATTTTGGATTTCATGAGAGCTACACATTCCAAAAAAGTTGGGGCAGGTAGCAATAAGAGGCCGGAAAAGTTAAATGTACATATAAGGAACAGCTGGAGGACCAATTTGCAACTTATTAGGTCAATTGGCAACATGATTGGGTATAAAAAGAGCCTCTCAGATGTGCAGTTTCTCTCAGTAGTCAAGATGGGCAGAGGATCACCAATTCCCCCAATGCTGCGGCGAAAAATAGTGGAGCAATATCAGAAAGGAGTTTCTCAGAGAAAAATTGCAAAGAGTTTGAAGTTATCATCATCTACAGTGCATAATATCATCCAAAGATTCAGAGAATCTGGAACAATCTCTGTGCGTAAGGGTCAAGGCCGGAAAACCATACTGGATGCCCGTGATCTTCGGGCCCTTAGACGGCACTGCATCACATACAGGAATGCTACTGTAATGGAAATCACAACATGGGCTCAGGAATACTTCCAGAAAACATTGTCGGTGAACACAATCGCCGTTGCCGGCTAAAACTATAGGTCGAAAAAGAAGCCATATCTAAACATGATCCAGAAGCACAGGCGTTTTCTCTGGGCCAAGGCTCATTTAAAATAGACTGTGGCAAAGTAGAAAACTGTTCTGTGGTCAGACTAATCAAAATTTGAAGTTATTTTTGGAAAACTGGAACGCCATGTCATCCGGACTAAAGA